GTTGTTTACGTGTCCTGACCCCTTGTGTCTATCGGCGTGGTAGTTAGCTGCTGCGGTTGCTACCCTTTTGTGCAATCATTTCTTTGATTGCGGTTGCGTCCATGGATGCCGGTGTTGGGATTGGTGTTGGTGTTGGTCCCATACGGACTCTCGAGCTTCGTCTGAGTGGCATGACCTCAATTGGCTAACCTATATATCAGATGTCAAAATAGCGTAAAAGGTGTCCAGCCATCTCGCTCATCTCACGATTAGTTTGTTCTACCTTTGCTCCATGGCCACTGCCCTAGTCTCAGCTGCTAGGGCTTGTCGCTCCAAGGAAGCCACCCTCTCCTCTAAGGAGTGTACGTGGGTCGTAGTGTCCACCTGCACACCAATGAGTGTAGTTGTCGCATACCATGGGGGACATCTTGAAAAAAGGAGGCGGAAGGGGCTCATATATGCCCCTGATGGGATAAGGCTTGTTAATGATCCCCCTCGATGTCCATCTCCTCATCTGACTCCTTCTCGGAATCCTCTTCCGGATCCTCTGCAGGGTCTTCCTCGTGAATTTCCCCTGGTTCTTCCTCGATCCATCCATTAGCTGCCATAACGGGATAATAGGGGTCTCTATGGTGGAATCTCGCCATGACTAAAAACAAAAGGGTGTATAAGGTCGCAATCTACGTGATTCTTAGTAACTAAGTAGTGCAACTAAGTTGTTAGTGTAGATATTTGATGAGGTTTGTGAAGTATTCATATGTAGATTACTTACGTTTACCCGGTTGTCCCCTATGCCCAGGCCCAGTTACATGTTCGTCAAACCTTGGTCAAGTGTAGTTGATCAGACTATACTCCCCCATGATTTGACAACATGTCATACTAGGTCTAGCCATAGTGTTCAACCTAAACTTTGATGTTCTTGATTTGTTTCATTGTGACACTAACTTTCTTTTATATGTGTATACTTTCATATAATAATTATTATTATATTTTAAGCATAATTATAACTTCAAATTTTTAGTCAGAGGTATTAGTCCCTATATCTATAGTTGTATTTCTTACATGGAAGAATATACTTAGTTCGCTATAAACAATTGCTCTGATACCAATCTGTTACACCCCCAAACCGGATGGAGGAAACGTCCGGGGGGTGGAACAATGATCATAGTATCACAATAATTGTATACATTGAAACACAAGTACATAAACAACCAACATATCATATGATTATATCAGTTACATGACCCATATGTTACTTAGTATCAAAATACATTACAAGGTTTGCATGTTATCAAACAAAGTAGTTCTCGTAATGATATTAGGTGTCTTGTCTTCAAAAGTAGCTCCACTGACCCGAGCTTAATTGTTTCCTGAGATTACATGCCGTTTTAAAAAAATCAACATAAAGTTGATGAGTTCATAAGAGTTCAGTTGTAGAAAAATCCGATATTTTTCCTTGTGTAAAAATAATATCCTTGTAAAATGTTTTATATTTGTACGCCTTCAGCGTAAAAGAAGAATGTATGTGTGTAGCATGTATCCAAAAGCATTTATAAAATAAAAGTTCTCATAACTTCTAAACTTATAAAAAGTGTGACTTGTCATGTGATTTTTATTATCCAAAAATCGAGTGTATAAGTAAAAAACCATACTTATAAATGTAGTATATAAGTAAATAACTATACTTATAAATATTGCGTATAAGTAAATAACCATACTTATAAATGTAGTGTATAAGTAAATAACCATACTTATAAATGCAGTGTAAAAGTAAATAACCATACTTATAAATGTAGTGTATAAGTAAATAACCTTACTTATAAATGTAGTGTATAAGTAAATAACCATACTTAAAAATGTAGTGTTTGTTCCCAGAAAATCCAATATTTTCAGAAAATAACCCGTATAGATCTATACACAAGTATCACGCTCTCTTACCGAGATTCGGGTTATAATTCAGGACTCTAGTGTGTACTCTGGTAGGTACGGTGAAGACTTTGTCTCACATAATTCTTTCAACAGGTTTACGTTTTGATGTAATGAAAACCCTTGTATGTGTAAATATCAATTTTCCATAGTATTAATATAGTGTATAATAATATTACCCAATGGATAATGGTATTATCCTAGGGGTAATGGTTTTATCCAATGTGTAAATACAAAGTTTTAATCTTTCAAAACTAGACTTTTGGTAAAAATGTTAGTTTGTGTTTGTCCAGTGTGTAATAATATTATCTAATGGATAAAGGTATTATCCATCATACAATAGATTAATACTAGAAACTTGTGCATATGAAAGAATGAGACTTGTGTGTTTTCTTTGAAAGCATGAATATATGTATATATTTCATAAATAGAACATAAACATGCATGTAAGAGTATTACCCAAAGGTTAAAAGTTTTATCCATCCTATATTAGATCCAGGACCTTTGTGTAAAGTCATTGTCCAAATGTATTTTGTTTGCATAGCATGTAACCTCCCTCGAAAGTGTAAAATGAGTGAAAACTAGTAGAAATGGGGGTATGAACTCACCTTTTGTGCTTTCCCTAGAAGATGGCAAGAAATGGTGGGAAATAGGAGGTAAGAATCGAGTGACACCTTCTTGAAACTCCAAGATCTTGCCTAGGATTTTTGTTTCAAGAGTGAAAATGAGACAACCAAAAGATGATGGTAGAATGTAGTGGGATCTCGGAAATATGAAGAAAACTTACCAAAAATACGTGCAAAACACTTGCCAAAAGCCTTGAATCAACTAGAGAATTCTTGGAGAGTTTAGAGAGTATAGAAGTGAGATTGGAGATGAAATGGTGGGGAGGGAGGCCTCTTGGCCGAATTTATAGAAGGACAAGGAGAGAGAAGAGTGGTGGTGGTTTGCATGGGGAAGGGAAGATGTAAGGTGTTGTGAATATTTAATTTAGGGTAAGCTTTCTAGCTTATTTTAATCAAGTAGGCATCTTGATTAAAATATTCAAGCATGGTTCCTTGATTTCTTTATTATATAGATGATATGATGATGTTGGATATGAGTAGATATGTTGGGAGAGAAGAGACATAATTTGTCTCGTATAGTTTTTATAAAAACCTAGCCCTTTTTATAAAAGTTTGTCATTTTTATAAAAGTGTGGTGGGATTTGAGAAATTGGTAAGGTTTAATAACTAATAAAAATATTGCTATTTAATATTATTAACAATAATATTAAAATCTTATAATTAAATTGGTTTTCTCAAATTCGTTGTATAAAATGTGAGCGTTAAACATGATAACATTTCGTTTTCTTGATGTATGACATTTTTCCAGAATAATCACCGGAGTACCAACTAAATGATGTTTAAAACGTGTTTATGGATTTGTGAACAACTAAACCTCGTGTTATAAACATTACCCAATTCCCATTAATATTTGTGTGTTTTATCGAATTACTACATTACCGTAGTTTACTGATCGCAATAAAAGCGTTTATTCGATAATGGATTCAAAATAGCGTACGTAACATTATAATATTCAATAATACATTAGGGATGTTAAGAAAATCACATTTCGCCTTTTTGACCTAATATACGCACAATTGACTTTTGTTGACCAAAATTTGATGGATGTCACACATACCGATCCTCCTACCTATTTAAATGATGACATGTGTCATATTAGTATTAAAAAAATATCATTAAAATTTTATTAAATGAACATTAAATGTTACACATGTCACTATTTAATTGGGTAAGAAGATTTATAGAAACAAAAAATAGGAGGATATCTGATATGTACCATTTTGTGGTTAAACTAAATAAAAAGAGACAATGCCTTTTGTATGTAAACAAATTAGGTTTTACATCCTGAAATTGAAATTGTAATTAATGAATGTATTACCTCATGTAACTAACTTTTGGTATATTTTCATCATATAATTACCGAATGTACATAACCACCTCACTTTCTACTACTCTTTAAATACATTACGGCCGCCGCAACATATAGCCGATAAAAATCATAGTTTAATAGAAAAAGAAACACACATATCTCCAATGTATCTCCAATAATGTTTACCTACCCATCTTGGTCTACAAGTAATTCGGGCATATAAAACATATTCAACTCCTTAAGATGAAAAGATACTTACCTTATAATTAACTATGTATGCAATTATAAAATAGATAATTAATGGTGACACGTAATTGGTATACAAATGTCATTGATAAGTTTTTTTATTTTAAATATATATACTACAAATAAATTTGAAATTACATCAATTTTTATTTTTGTTTTTTATTTTAAACTTTTCATATTTTTGGGGTTAAAAACAATTTAATTTAAAAATTTTAGCAACACGTTAATCTATTTGTTTATCAAGTATTACATTTTCGTTTTTTATTGGTTGTTATAACATTTACAACCTAAAACATAACTAACTAATGAATTTTACTATCTTTGCCCTAATATTAGGGCATCCAATGAACCTGCTCCCCTAGGTTGATGAGAGTCTAAGAAGTACACATTCCACATTGATCACAATCTCACCTTACCCCTGCCCTTTTCCAAGTTAACTGATTCACGTACATATATTTGAGCTCCCAACAGAAGAAGCGGATGCCATTATCTTTGCTTGTGATTTGGACATTTGAAATGATCGTGAAAGCTGCATTTCGTTTCAATTTAACCTCAATTGTCAACTCAACATCTCCTTTTTTTGTTACAAAAATATTGATTTAATAGTCAATGAGGACAAAATATATGAAATCTACTTAATATTTGCCTATCAAACGGTTGGGAATTGCGTGAATTGTTGGGTGATACATTTGAAAATTATCGATTTTATATTGTTGATTGTTGCGTGATACATTTGATTGTTGTGTGATACATTTGAAAGTGATTGACTTGAGTCAAAATTATATTGGGGACTATCTATGATATGTTCAAAGAGAATACGCATAATTATAGGAAAACGTCTAAAGTTGAGGGACATGTTTAAAAAAATTCTTAATGATAAAAGGTCCACGAGCGCAACTACTCAGATACGTATGCTTAAAGTCGAAATTGAGAGGAGAGAGAAATGGATAGGATGTTTTCAGTGGACGATATTGCGGGCCACTTTTGGTCGCCATCGCCGGCCGCCGGGGCCGCCGATGAGGATGAATCATCATCTTCCTCATCTGCATCTAAGAGCAAGTCAACGCCGGCGATGATGAATCGGAGTATGTCTGAGTGGCAATTTCAACGCTTTCTCCAAGAGGCATCGGCACCACCGGAATCTTCATCTTGTAGACCAAACGAAGTTGTCGAGATCAAGGATCAAGACGAGGTTCGAGACAAAAATCAGGCTGTTGCCATCACCACTGCTACTTTGAAGAACAACGAAAGCGGCAGAACAACTGGCAGTGCCACTGGTGGTGGTGGTGCAGCTGCGACGACTTCGTTTGGTGCTTCCTTAGCCGGCGGACCTCCTAATGTTCCTATTGATTCGGAGGAGTACCAGGCTTACCTCAAAAGTCGTCTTAATCTCGCTTGTGCAGCTGTTGCTTTGACTAGGGTATGCAAATTTGTTTGTCTTGCATCTCTTTTAAATCTATATTTTTTCTTATGTTGCCCATTTGCCGAGTAAAACTCAAATCCGAGCTTAGATTTAATAACATTGGTAGTTTCTTTTACTTTCTAGTTCTAATAAAGAGATAATGTCAAATAACTAGCAAGGTGATCGATCGCCAGTAGATTTACACTAACAGAGGTTAAGAGGAGATTGATGCGCATTAAATTGATTACAAGTGGAATATAATTTACTCTTGTAACATCCATGAGAATCAAATTAAAATGCAAAAAAATAGCTATAAACTCATATGATGCAACTTTGTTAATAATGAATGGTGAAATAGTTTTACTAGAAACAATGCCTTTAGTATTGTGATGTAAATTGTGTCCTTCATCTCTGAAATAATCATTCAACTATTGCTCATTAATGATAGTAGAAGCAATGGTGCAGAGGCAAAAAAGGGATTCTTGCATAATACCATAGATGAATCAATCAAACCAATGTCATACGATTTCTAATTGGGAAGACTAAACACAAGTATACTACGCAATGACACCACAAATTTTGACGTTGATTATCTGGATGTGATTGTGTTTAAGTAAACCTCCTCCCATGAATCATGAAACTAGAAATATCTTGTTCATTCTCATATTCTTCAAAAAGTAGATCATACTCTAACTGCTCAAATTCTACCCCCTATATCCTTTTTCATTCTAATTACTTTGAATTGTGTATGTACTTCTAGATGTACACATATGTAGAGGAAAAATAGGGTTAATTGTCTTGCTAAGTGGATTACTATCACAAGGATTGCTATAGTTAGGATTAACACATATATTTGTTTGTTTTTTTCCCTTTCCCCTCTTTCTCTTCAAAAAGAAGTTTGAGAACACAATGTTAAGATTCTATATCCAAAGAATTTAATGGTGACAAAATAGATGTTGTTGTGAAACTTTGGTTCTTACAAAGAGTGTTAGGCAATTCTGTTTGATTATATTCTTGTTCCATCCATTAGTAGAAAGGGATGTGCAGATGTTGGCTTTTTAGAGGGATGTACAATTGTATCAATAAACAATTTGGTGTAGAATATAGAATAAAGGAACAAAAGGACAAAGTGTCATCTTGTCTTGATGTTATTTGGAGGAATCGATGTTCTAATAATAGATATGTAGTTGTTTATATAGGATTAAATAATTAAATTATTTCTTCATGAAGAGTATTTATGTTTTTTGCATCTTTCTTTTTCTCCAAGTTTTACTGTCATTATTATTATTGTTGTTGTTCTTATTATTTTCATTATTATTGTTACCATTATCATTATTATTACAATTATGATTATGATTATAATAATACAAGGTTGACCTTTCAATACTTTTTAGAATTTCATATCTAGTTAATATATTGAATATAATTACAAAGACCCATTATCAAAATAATACGCATATGCTTCTATAGGCCGTTTATTATTATTATTTTTTCTGCACCAAGTCAAAAAGAAACACCTATATATAGGCATGTAGCTTACCTAATTGAGCTGTTCCCATTAAGGCCATTAACTCAAAATAAACTGCACATAAATTGTATTTAATTTAGGATAACCTCGTAGACTCGTAGTATTATAAATGCAAGAAATAACAATATACTTCATTGATTTGTTTATTATAGCATATTAGCATCCCACTTTCATATTTTCTTATTGTACACCTGTAGTTTGAAAAATCTACCCAATTATAGCAATATCATCCAAATAAAAAGAAATCCACTGCTATAATTGGATAGATTTTTCATTTTTCAAAGTATAATGTATTAATTTGGGCCAATTAACCCTATTCCTTGAAGTGGATAAAATTTTTGCTTTTATTTTAAGATTTAACTTTTGCAAAGCACTATGTAATATGTATAGTTGACTCTTTCTCTTAGGCATCTTCTGCAAAAGCTCAAGATTTTGCTGGTTTAACTGACAATGGATCACAAGCCTCCAACACCTCACAATTGGGATACCAAGTGCCTTCTAAAGGTTCGTACCTTTAACTTCTTACAATATTAGAAATTCAATCAAATTTGAAATTGCTTTTTGGATAAATGATGTATAAGGAAGAAAAAAGTAAATGAGGGCAAATTAAAGAGATAAATAAAAGTAGATTGTTATTTTGTTTCATATAGTGTCAGGGTTTGATCCCAAGGGACCAAGTAAGGAAAGTGGTGGGCCTATCGGGATCCCTTCTTTGCCCATTATACAAAAGAAGGCGGTTGCAGTTCCAGTGAAATCAGCAACAAGTGGATCATCAAGAGAATTATCAGATGATGATGAACTTGATGGAGATACAGAAACAACTCAAAATATGGACCCCACAGATGCAAAACGTGTCAGAAGGTAAGTAAATAGGGTTTCATCTTTAGATGTAATAAAATATTGATTTAATCATATAACAGTTAATTTGGATTAATCATATACGGATAACTTATTTGGTTATAATTGTGTAAATATATAATTTATAGTACACAGATAAATGAAAGTACTTTGTTATTTTTTTCTTTTCTTTTTAGAATGCTATCAAACAGAGAATCTGCTAGACGATCAAGGAGGAGAAAGCAGGCCCATTTGACTGAGCTTGAGACACAGGTCTTTTCCTTTTGTTAAATACAAATGAGGAGGGCATTTACGTCTTTTTCATAGACGAGAGTGAATCCCAGTCCCACCTTTTTGGGTGGGACAAAGAGTTGAAGTTTTTATTCCTTTGACATCGGTTTTAGTTAGTGTCCAGTGCGTAGCAAACATAGTACAACCTGTTTTATCCGGTCAATCAGTCATTGTCAGTCACTGTACATCACATCAAACACAGTACAGACTGTTTTGTCATGTCCTATGTCACAGAAATGGCCTAAATTTGGATAAATGATTTAATTAAATAAAATATTTTTATACTTGTTGATAGGTTTCTCAATTAAGGGGAGAAAATTCTTCATTACTGAAGCGTCTCACAGACATAAGCCAAAAATACAATGAAGCAGCTGTTGATAATAGAGTGCTGAAAGCTGATGTTGAAACAATGAGAGCGAAGGTCGGTGCTTTCAAAGTAGTGTTATTTTAAATTTATAAATTTGAAATTACAATAGTAATAATAATAATATGATAATTTTATGGATTGTGTATACAGGTGAAAATGGCTGAAGAAAGTGTGAAAAGAATTACTGGATTTAACCCAATGGTTCAAACCATGTCGGATATATCAACAATGGGTCCCATGCCATCCTATTCTTGTAGCCCATCCGATGCACCCTCGGATGCTTCCATTCCCATACAAGATGACATGAAACAACAACACTTTTACTCCGGCCAACCACCTCCTGCCACCAACCCCCACCACCCTACTCCCGCCACCAACCACCACACACGACTGCCTGTAAACCTCCCGGCCATCGAAAACATTCAACCGCACAACCCCATGATGTCGGAAGTCGGACCACCAAAAATAGGTCGAACCACATCGATGCAACGAGTGGCGAGCTTGGAACATTTGCAAAAACGGTTCCGTGGGGATGTCCCCCAAGACCGTTAGACTGTGTTCAATAGAACATAACAGGACATGACAAAACAGGACAGTAGTACACACAGTACACAATACAAGCTTTATAGGCGTATTATTGTTGCACCTATTTGGGTGGGGTAGATAATTGCATTTTTTGTCCCATTCACATCATCCTGTCTCGGTTCAATGCAAGATACATGCTGTACAACCTGTTATGTTTTGTCATGTCATGTGTAGCAAAAATACAATCTTGGTAAGGATTGCATTCTAATTTTAACTCAAGTCATTTTTATGTGCAGAGGCTCGATTGGGGAGCCTGATTTTTGTGTCGAATATAGTTGGTGGTCTGGTATTTGAATTGTGCATATTTCTTCCCCCATTGATGTCTTGTTTAAAATTGGAGAAATTGAAACACTGAATGTGAAAAAATTTGATGGATTTTATTTCGTTTGGTCTTTTGATTTTAAAGAATTCCATTCCTGGTCCTTTTTCTTAGTTTTTAGTTTTATCTACATATGAAGGGTTGTATGAATAAAAAAGAATTTCTATTTGGAGGAAGGTGTAATATAAAACAAGCTAAATTGAAAAAGGGATTTTCTAATATGTGCCCTAAGGGCATATATAAGAAGTATTAATTATGAAAAATATTGCCATAATTAAATTCAAAATATATTTATTATGGAAATTATTAATGCATTTCACATTTAATTATGGTAATATTCCTTATAATTAATGTATTTTACATTTAATTATGGTAATATTTGTCATTAATTAATACTCAAACAAGCGGTTTAATGAATGTTTGCGTATTCGTCCATAGGTCAAATCGGACATGTAATTATTAGAATAATTATCGGAGATTTAAATGATGGATATACACATGATTATTTATATGTTGTTCAATATCTCTATGAATCTATGAACTTTTTTTTTTGCATCGTCTTATTTGGTCTATGTACCGGAAAAAAAAAGAACATTCGAGATTATGAAATATTATACACAAAAATAATAACATTTGTAATTTTGATTAAGATATGGCAATGCAGTTGTATGTTTTTACCATAATGCAATATCTAACCAATTAAACTAATATACTTATGTAGCATACAAATATTTGGATATTTATAGAATAAGAAAAGGAAGGAAAAATAACTTGGAAAATATAAAAAGTTGTAAAAAGGGTAAAATGGTAAAAAAGATAAATTACGCATTTTATATGACCATCGAGTGAGATAATAGTAAATGTGATCCTTACATAAAGTTATAAGAATTTCATATAGTTTTGGTACAAATAAATTAAATGCAAGGGCAAAAATGGAACAAAAATGTGAATATACAAATTCACATAAACTAAAGAAAGTAACAACTTTGGAGCTATACCACTAACCAAACTCATGTGTTAAGAAATTTTTAAAAAAAAAGTTGGAATGGAAATAGGACTAAATAATATAAAAGGGCTGGTTAAGACTTAAGGGATGAGCAAGTTTTTAGCTAAGTTTGAAGAAAAACTAGTTGGTGATGATGAGATTTTAAGCCAATTTGAAATACCAACGTTAAGACCTTATATTTCGAGATATGTAGATATTCAACCCAAAATATGTAAATACAAGTTTTAGCTTATATATCAAAGAATGTGTATACCAAAATTAATGGCATTTGAGTATGAAATGAAAAAGTTATGATCATTAGAAAATAAATTGCAAAAAATGATGAAAGTGGAAAAAATGAGTATAGAACTATGTACACATTCAATCAGCAATGTCTATATAGAAGTTGTAGTACTCTTTATTAGCTTTCCACGGATATATGATTCATTAAAATCCAATATCATATGATTAAGATATAGCTATTACAAGATGAGAAGAAATAAAGAAGAAATAATGAAACTTCAAGAAAAATGGCAAAGGCATGGAAAAGGCCCAATAATGGAGAAGTATTATGTTTGAATCACGCGGACAACGCCCAAGACCCATGCAGCCTACATGATCCCGTTGACTACGGATTGATCGCTATTTATTTAACTACTTTAGGTCGTTGTAGTCCATAAAGAAGAATCAAACTTTATCAGAGCTTGCATTCGATGTCGTTGATTCAATTTCTTCACGCAAGAAATTCTAAAAAGAAGCTTCCTTCGTAGGAAAGATATTAAAGTAAATAAAAAACTCACCATTCATTCATGAACTGTCTTGAATGAATGGCTATCCAGGTAACCTCACCCGTAAACCACATACTAGACTTACAGACAACCTAAAAAGAAAGGGAGTCTCACTAATAAGCATAAAGAAGGAAAATCTAGAAGAATAAACAAGAGAGAACGTGCATACAAAGAGGATTCTTAACCGTTCGCGTAGAGAAGATAGTTGTTTTAGGCAAGGAAAAAAGTCAACCATAGCAGAACGCAATCAAAGCATTCTTCCTTGGCCGCTCCTTCAACTGATTTCATTCATTTATAAACTCACTTGAATGTGCCATCAAGAGCTCCAATTGCTACGAGGATATGATCTTTAGGTTGGGCACGAAAGTTGTATTGATTTGACTTCTTTGCTTCCGCTATTGAAGCCCAATAAAACTTTATCAATTCTCATTCTTCTTTAGCGACAAGGAAGGCTACCCATGGGCAAGAGTACTAATCCGTCTATCTACTTACTCTCTAACTACGAGAATGTTATTTACTGAGAGAAGTAATATGGATTGTTGATGTCTTCTTTTTGGTGGTGAGGACTGAACTTCCCGCTATAGCTAGCATTGTTAGGAATGCTTCTGACCATCTTAGGCCATTCTTGATGATGGACCCTCCGACAACTTTAGAAGCCTTGGTTCGTAAGGGCTCTTATCTTGAACTAACTCTTTGATCTTGGTTTCTAGATCCATATCCTTTCGCATCAAGAGTACCCACGTGTCTTAAACCCACCTTTATCCCAACAACCCCATAATGAACAGAAAGGAACCCGATGAGGAAAGTGGGACAATGTTCAGACCTTGACTATCAGTTCTAGTCCCAAGGGTGGGTAAAACGAGGCCTTGACGGATGGGAACTCCTATTCTGACTATAGTTTTGCGATCTCGAAGCAGGATTTTAAGTCATCTATCCTTTATCTTTCCCTAGCGAGTGAAGAAACGTCTTCTTCCCAATAATGAACCCCGTTCAAGCTGTGATAAGAGGACGTTTCCGTACCCATTACCTTACTCAAGAAAGAAAGTCATGCTGATCAGTAGTAGTGTCTAAGAGGAAGGGTTGACATTTTGAGCTACCTATTTTTTGTGATCAATTTAGAAACTTAGCTTCTCACATTCCCATAGATTCTCTAGAAGAAAGCAATCGGCTTTGCCCAAGTTGTAATGACAGAAAAATCCTTGTCGATGAAGAATGTTTCGAAAGCAGCCTCAAAGCGGTTAGCTTCGCTTTCCTTGACTTTAGAGATGAATGGTTTTAGATGAACTACTGCATTTACCAGTTGATGAATTATGCTTCGAACACCTAGACCAGTAGCCACTTAGTAACGTCGGCGCTTAGATAGCGATGTGAACCTGCCTTCCTTACCTTAATCAACAGCTAGGTTTGTACTACTACCAGTTAAAACAAAAAGTTTTGAAATGCTTTTCGTAAGGCAAGGAAGTCAGTGCAGGTAGGCGAGGGCAGTTCCGCTCTACGATTTATGGCAGTCTATTTTCTTTTCTTTTCTTATTGTAGCAATCTTTCATAGTGCACCCGTAAAGAGAGAATGCTTGGTAGCAGGACAGTAGGAGTTCAGCAGGTGGGCCGCTTCATGCCAAGGATAGCACTCCACCGGTTGAAAGAAAGCAGTAAAACAGTTAGCTAGCTGAAGTTATCAAGTTCAGAAGTAACAACTCTCATAGCTGCACTTTCATCTTCTTCTCTTGCTCCACTTTCACTACCTGCACCAAAGCTAGGAGATTCCTGAATAGTCTGCTGTTTTCCTTTATTTTCGTAAGAAAGGTAATGCATTTGTTCCAGCTTATCTATATTTCTTTACATAGCACTCCATTTGATCCTTTGGAAAAAATGAAATCATCTATAGATAGGTCTTCACTAGAAAGCATTTTCAATATATTTGCTGCAGACCCAACAATTTTACAAGCATTTTTCTATCATATCAACTCACTGCTTCATACCTAAAGGTCTTTGCACTACTTTCCAGTCATTAGCATTTTCAGTCTTTTTAGGGACCACTTTATTTCCTTATTCTTCTTTAGAGGTTGAGTAAGGGTTTGGATATGATTCGGACACTTGACAGTTGAATGCCCTGCTTTCTTTCCAAGGCTAATCCACTAGAATAGCTGGAAAGTAGTCAAGAATAAATTCAACCTCTAAGTAATCTACTACCCCAACTAAACCACCAAGAGATGATAAGGCAAAAGGGTGTCAACACCCACTCCTGAGACAAAGCATGCTAAGGGCACAACTTACTCCTTCAATAGAAAAAGAAAAGAAGCAAGGCCCGCTACCACGAAGACTAATAAGAGGATAGATGGCACTCGGTTTCCTAACTCATTTACTTGACTTTCAGCCTTTCATTTTTGGAAGCTAAGGAGGCTGTCTTGGTCGACCATCCTGAGTGTGACACTTCATTCCTTTTCTTTCGGCTACATAAGCTTGGGGTTACAGTTTCATAGGCTCCGATCACTTTGGTCTGAAGACCTTCCGAGCTAGAAAACGTTTACCATAAGTTGCTTTTCGTAGAGGCTAGGGATGTCTGCTTTGTCTATCGACTTGTCTTGATCCGCTTTACTTCTTCCCTTTGTTAACATTTATGGTAGTTGCCCTTTAATCTTACATGACAGCTTTCGAAGCACGCTAGCTAAGCAAGGACTGCGGGGAATGATAAAAATACATACATCTAGAAGGACTATATTAGGATGGGCCTTAGCGGTTAGGTATACTGGTGGGAATGTATTAATAGATAGCTGAACGTGGGTGCAATTGTCATTCCCTACTAATAGAAGTCGGAGAGGTTAGGTTAATGGGTTTAAAGATAAATTAGGACCAACAAGTTGAGTCGTTAAACCTAACGAGTCTAAGGGCTGGACGGGGGATCTCACGATTATAATCCTTATGGGGCTTGTATCGAATCTCTATCTCCGACTGACTTCAATGTCTGAGGATGGCGCTTGTATTCCTAAGTAAGTCTTATGGTGCTATCTAATCATCTCTAGTTTATGGCCCTCTCATTCCATGATGGGATTGGTCTTTACACTTACAATGGTTTCAAGATAAGGTTATTCGTATGCCACTATGATTCCCTTTAAGAGTTTCAAGATAAAGTTATTCTTATGGGATAGGTCTTTACACTTGCATTGGTAACCGTTGTATATGTTGAGCTAGTAAGCCTAGAAGGAATAAGTTGTAGTTGCTACCGTTACGTGGGCTTCTTCTTAGTCTACTTGGAGGGAAGGTCTTTAAGTTAAGATATAATAGAGTATGATATAACCAGAAAGTCTGTGGTATCATTAGCCAATGTTTGTGATTCTAGAACAAAAGAATTCTACCAAAGTAGAGGATATGATGCATCAGAGGTTGTACTTTCTCTTCCCATGTATGGGCAGGAGGAAAAGCTAGCTAGATAAACAAGACAAGGATCGCCCGATCGACAATGCTACCTTGGGGAGGAGACAAAAGATTTTAATATAACAATGAAAGCTAATATTCTAAAGCTTTTTCGATATATGAAAAAGATTACTATGGAAGAGTTGGTGAACATTGTTCTGAATAATAGCTCTTAGATGAAAAGCATGTATGAGCCAGCTTCAACACCACCTAGACTCTTAATCATAGACATACTTGTGACTAGAGGTGGCAATGGGTCGACCTGGGTTGGGTTCGGGTTCAACCCATTTAATAATTGGGTTGAAAATTTCAACCCAACCCAACCTGTTTATTTAAATGGGTTGATATTTCCAACCCAACCCAACCTTTTAGATAAATGGATTGTCACCGGGTTGACCTGTTTATGTAGTTCCTGACCCAACCTATTAAATAAATGGGTTAAACTTGGATTAACCCATTTAAAATCAATTAAATAAATTATATAATTAAATATTATACCACTTAAATTATAAAACGTATATAAAACTTCATAATTATGACAAAAGCACAATCCTAATTCATAAATACAAATAAATTGTTCAAATAACATTAAAAACGTTTAGTTTCACAGTGATTTTGGAGAGTGATCAGTATTATCGGCGCTAAAAAAAGGATGGAAATTAGGATTGAATTTTATTAAACATTGATAGTAATAATGCAACATTATAATTTACAAATTAATGCTTTGATTAATACATGATAATATTCAAATAATATTAAATTATATATATATATATATATATATATATATATATATATATATATATATATATATATATATATATTAAAGTTAAATGGGTTGACGGGTTGATAATTTTTACCTAACCTAACCTATTTAATTAAATGGGTTAGACGGGTTGACCCATTTAAGTTAAATAGGTTGAAAATCTCAACCCAACCCGCTAATTTTGGGTTGGGTTCGGGTTGGGTCGATTTTTGCTAGCTCTACTTGCGACCTCAACATAAAAGGATGAGCCTAGTCTGTCTATTTGTACGCATTAGCTTAATTCACTCCTAACCTCCCGTAAAGAACACATAATGAAAAAAATCTGGTAAACACATCAGTAACTTGATGTTATAAAACGTATTGTCGTGTATGATTTGATGAGTGAATTGTACAAGCATATGAGTTGAAGTTTATCTGTTAATTTGACCCTAAATGGGATAAAAACGATATATATGGGCCCCTCGATGATTTAGTGATGACATCTAAAGCGCTTGACCAAGCCTGGACTAAGTTGATGTGTTCAAATGTAGTCTGAGTCAGTCGTCATGAATCAGAAATCAGGAAACAACTCTTGGACAAAGATTAATTATAATCCATGTCTCATGTCCATACGATATCTTATTAGAACGGTGGGATATTTGATCACTTATCTAAAGGACACGTCATTGACTAGTTCAGAGTTCGACATCGGCTTTTGAAAGCTACAAGTCAAATTTCGAAGTCATACTTGCAATAATAGTTATTAGACTTATCCAAGTGGGAGACTGTTGGATTAGGTGTCTAAGCCCATAACTATAATTGGTATGTACTTGATTTGATAGTAGCATGGTCCTTTTGGGTTGCCTTAACTCAAGCAACTTGACAGGATGACTGGTAGAGAGAGAGTAAGATTTATTATTTGAAATAATAAATTGGTACTCAAAATGATTTTATCCCAAGGGACCAAGTAAGGAAAATGGTGGGCCTATCGGGATCCCTTCTTTGCCCATTATACAAAAGAAGGTGGTTGCAATTCCAGTGAAATCAGCAACAAGTGGATAAATGATGTATAAGGAAGAAAAAAGTAAATGAGGGCAAATTAAAGAGATAAATAAAAGTAGATTGTTATTTTGTTTCATATAGTGTCAGGGTTTGATCCCAAGGGACCAAGTAAGGAAAGTGGTGGGCCTATCGGGATCCCTTCTTTGCCCATTATACAAAAGAAGGCGGTTGCAGTTCCAGTGAAATCAGCAACAAGTGGATCATCAAGAGAATTATCAGATGATGATGAACTTGATGGAGATACAGAAACAACTCAAAATATGGACCCCACAGATGCAAAACGTGTCAGAAGGTAAGTAAATAGGGTTTCATCTTTAGATGTAATAAAATATTGATTTAATCATATAACAGTTAATTTGGATTAATCATATACGAATAACTTATTTGGTTATAATTGTGTAAATATATAATTTATAGTACACAGATAAATGAAAGTACTTTGTTATTTTTTTCTTTTCTTTTTAGAATGCTATCAAACAGAGAATCTGCTAGACGATCAAGGAGGAGAAAGCAGGCCCATTTGACTGAGCTTGAGACACAGGTCTTTTCCTTTTGTTATTTACAGACGAGGAGGGCATTTACGTCTTTTTCATGGACGAGAGTGAATCCCAGTCCCACATTTTTGGGTGGGACAAAGAGTTGAAGTTTTTATTCCTTTGAAATCGGTCTTAGTTAGTGTCCAGTGCGTAGCAAACATAGTACAACCTGTTTTATCCGGTCAATCAGTCATTGTCAGTCACTGTACATCACATCAAACACAGTACAGACTGTTTTGTCATGTCCTATGTCACAGAAATGGCCTAAATTTGGATAAATGATTTAATTAAATAAAATATTTTTATACTTGTTGATAGGTTTCTCAATTAAGGGGAGAAAATTCTTCATTACTGAAGCGTCTCACAGACATAAGCCAAAAATACAATGAAGCAGCTGTTGATAATAGAGTGCTGAAAGCTGATGTTGAAACAATGAGAGCGAAGGTCGGTGCTTTCAAAGTAGTGTTATTTTAAATTTATAAATTTGAAATTACAATAGTAATAATAATAATATGATTATTTTATGGATTGTGTATACGGGTGAAAATGGCTGAAGAAAGTGTGAAAAGAATTACGGGTTTTAACCCAATGGTTCAAACCATGTTGGATATATCAACAATGGGTCCCATGCCATCATATTCTTGTAGCCCATCCGGTGCACCCTCGGATACTTCAGTTCCTTTACAAGATGACATGAAACAACAACACTTTTACTCCGGCCAACCACCTCCCGCCACCAACCCCCACCACCCTACTCCCGCCACGAACCACCACACATGACTGGCTGTAAACCTCCCACCCGTCGAAAACATTCAACCACATAACCCCATGATGTCGGAAGTCGGACCACTAAAAATAGTTCGAACCACATCGATGCAACGAGTGGCGAGCTTGGAACATTTGTAAAAACGGTTCCGTGGGGATGTCCCCAAAGACCGTTAGACTGTGTTCAATAGAACATAACAGGAAATGACAAAACAGGACAGTAGTACACAATACAATACAAGCTTTGTTGGCGTATTATGGTTGCACCTTTTTGGGTGGAGGTAGATAATTGCATTTTTTTGTCTCATTCACGTCATCCGGTCTTGGTTCAATGCAAGACATATGTAGTACAACCTGTTTTGTGTTGTTTTGTTCTGTTTTGTCATGTCATGAGTAGCAAAAATACAATCTTAGCAAAGATTGAAGTCTAATTTTAACTCAAGTCATTTTTATGTGCAGATGCTCGATTGGGGAGCCTGATTTTTGTGTCAATGTTTACTGAAAATTAATGCAAGACATATGTAGTACAACCTGTTTTGTGTTGTTTTGTTCTGTTTTGTCATGTCATGAGTAGCAAAAATACAATCTTAGCAAAGATTGAAGTCTAATTTTAACTCAAGTCATTTTTATGTGCAGATGCTCGATTGGGGAGCCTGATTTTTGTGTCAAATATCAGTTGGTGGTCTAGTATTTGGATTGTGCATATTTCTTCCCCCATTGATGTTTTGTTTAAAATTAGACAAATTGAAACACTGAATGTGAACAAATTTGATGGATTTTATTTCTTTTTTATCTTTTGATTCCTGAAGAACTATGTTCCCAGTCCTCTTTCTTAGTTTTTAGTTAGTTTTATTTTGTTTGAATAGAAAAGTTTTGTATTTGGAGGAAGGTGTAATATAAAACAAGCAAAGTTGCAAGAAATCAGAGCCATTCTTAGCAAACAAGCATGGAATGTATGTCGATATATATCTCCATGAATCTAGGAACCTTTGCATGCATCTTGTAATTTGGTCTATGTACCGAAAACCGAGAACATTCGACATTATGTAGGGTTATACATGAAAAGAATAAGGTGGAGTTTAATTTTTAAAAAGTAAAACGTTTGCGGTTTGTCTATAGACAATAGTAGAAGAGAAGTAGACCAAATGTCTATAGTTTGCAAGAAAAAACTATTTATTTTTTTAACGTTAGTAGACTGTTAAAATAAATTGAAAATAAATTGAAATATAAATAAACTCGTTATAATTACATCTTTATTTTTTTTATGTATCAGCCACCACTAAATTATATATAACCAATCATAATTAGTCCACTAATCAAAACAAAATTTAATAATATTGTCATCTTTGGCTAAACATGAATTTGATTCGTGACCATGACTAATAAAATAGAAAACGAGATTTGCAGTAGATCTTAAACTTGATCAAGCAATTTCCTAACTTTCATATACATGAAAAATTACAAACATTTATATTTAATTTAAACAACCATATATTTTGCTATGAACCATATTTAAATCAATTTATATAGGAAAATTTTCAAAAAAGTCTTAAACTTTTGGAAAAAGTAACAATTAAGTCCTAATTTTTTATAAATAAAAAAACCAAAAACAACCGCCTAATGTTTACAATTTAGCCCTTTAGGACATTTTCACCAGGTCACATGTCTATGTGACACTCTAAGATGGAAGCATTGTTGATCTAGCCTATGTGGCATGTCACGTCCGCTTCTTCCTTATAAACAAAAAATTGAATTTTTTTAAGAAAATATTGGGAGCAATGTTTAAAAACCGGTTTGAACCGGCCGATCGAAACCGGTTGGACCGGGAACTGAGGGAGGGAGCGGTTCAACTATCATTGGTTTTAAGTCGATGTCTAAATAGGATTGAACCGGCCTGTTTTTAGAAAAAACCCGGTTGAACTTGTTAAACCGAATAAAGACATATGGTAAATGTTATAATTTTTTTTGATGTATTTGTATTCATCTAAAACTATATTTTGTTTTGGTATTATATTATATTTTCTTTTTTACGTATATAGATTAATGTAAAACACTAAAACTTATGGTTATGTATTATTTTAATATATTTGGATTGATCCACAACTTATTTTTATATGTATTTTTAATGTTTGAACTTGTAAACGTCAAATTCATGATTTATATACGTATGTATGTATGTATGTATATAAAAATAGCAAAAAAGATGAAAATTATAAAAACCGGTTAACCCGGCGGTCGAACCGGGAACCGTCAGTTAAACTAAAAAACCGGTTTTTAAAACATTGATCGGGAGAGGGTTTCGAACATGCGCCTCCCTTCAACAAAACAAAACTACCAACCAGTTGCGTTGGAAGATTTATTTGCTTTAACTCCTTCATTCCCCTCTCTCTCTCTCTCTCTATATATATATATATATATATATATATATATATATATATATATATATATATATATATATATATATATATATATATATGCTGAGGCTTTTCATTGTAAAAAATCGATGAAGGGGGATTCGAACCTGCGCCACACAACAACTACTTACTAGATGTCCTAGAGGATACATCTGACAGTTCTTTTCATTTTTGTATATAACTCTTATATTTGATGCTTTAAATACATTTGTTGTTGTTGTTGTTGTTGTTGTAAGCGAAAGTGAAAAAAATGATTTTTGAATTCGTTATTATAATAATTATTAAAAAATAAATATATAAATATATTTTAAATACGTAAAAAATATAGAAATGTAATAAATACATATAGAAAAAGTATTTATATGTTTTTAGATGTATTTATTATATTTTTATGTTTTTACCTATAAATACATATTTAAAATGTATTTATATATTTATTTATTTAATAATATTGATAAAACGAATTTAAAAAATCATATATCGATTTTCACATATAATACTACTAATAATAAATTGTATTTCAAGCTTGACAAATTATATATATATATATATATATATATATATATATATATATATATATATATATATATATATAGAGAGAGAGAGAGAGAGAGAGAGAGAGAGAGAGAGAGAGAGAGAGAGAGAGAGAGAGAGAGAGAGAGAGAGAGAGAGAGAGAGAGAGAATCTTATAATTCAATTGGTAATTTAAGTGTTTATGTGTAGGAGGGGCATAGGCTCTAATCTCACACCTCTTATTTTTTATTTTTTTATTTTTTTAAATAAATAAATAGAAGAGTTAAGGATTAAAAACAAAAAAAAGTGTTAGCTGGATTGGTAAGTCGTTAGATTTGTATGAAGAAGGATGCGAGTTCGAAATCCCCTTTCTACATTTTCGAAAACAAATCGAATTTTTTATTCCAAAGGAAGGCGTTGACATTACAAGTCGCGTTAGCAGCCATGTCATGCCAAATCATTAGCTTTGTATGAAGAAGGATGCAGGTTTGAAACCCCCTTTCTACATTTTCGAAAAAGAAATCGGATTTTTTATTCCTAAGGAAGGCACTGATGTGGCATGCCAAATCATTAGTGTTTTCCATCTTAGAGTGTCACATGAACAAGTATCCTGTTGAAATGGTCAAAAAAGACCAAAGTGAAAGAGTTACTCAGTTTCTTAGGTTTTTTTTTTTTTAAAATTGGGACTTTTTTGAAACTTTTTCCAAAATAATGAAACTTTTCTGAAGATTTCCCATTTATATAATGAAATTTCTAACACTAAAAAATAAGAAAAAAGATTCATTGAAAAAACTATGTGAAATTGGTTATGAAATTTGAGGTCTTTTGGGGGAAAAAATAATAATATAAATAATGGTTATTGTATTCATTTTTATTTGCAAGTACTTATAAGTTATAATTTGCATGTGTTACAGTGTCAAACTCAACAAATAAAGGTGTACAAAATGAACTCGAAAAATATTGTTACTTTACATTAAAAAGTAGTGCAAGCCAAGTATAGTCGATCCACATAGACACATGACAAATGTTTATTTATTTTGTGTAAGGTATTTGAGTCACAAAACGTGCGCACGCACGTGCGGGAGGGGGGGGGGGGTGAATTTGCAAAAATAAATGCTAGACACATGCAATTAAAGAATTGTAAATTAATAATAAAATAGTTGTAATCCTGTAGTGTAACGTCCTAAAAATACTAAGTAAAAATTTCAATTTTCAACCACCCAAAGTCCCAAACCATTCAATCATTTGTTCAAAATACAACCAGAGTAATGAATTCTCAAACATCAATGTAAAACATAATCGATAATGCGGAAATAAAACTTCAGGGGGGATGCAGTGCGATCAAGTCAGACCCTTTCCTATGGAACCATAAGTACCTGAAACATTCAAACATGAAACCGTAAGTACAAACTTAGTGAGTTCCCCAAAATACCACATACCATAGATAACAATGGGCCCCGCCCTAGGGGTATATTTTAACCCATGTATAACACCCTGTTTCAGATGTTTCTTAATTCTGGGTTGGAGGGACGTAATTCGATCATGTAAAGGCTTTGGGATTTGAGAATTAAAGTTTGGACCTTATCAAAGATTGATAGCATTGGTTGCAACATCTAAGCCTTTGATTCGCATACTGGAACAAAAGGGTAGAAAAGGAAAAATTATGGGTAGGACTTATTGCATGAATTATGGTTTTAGTTTGTTATGTGTTAATCCAAAGGTAACTAGATAGGATTATGGGGCTTGTCAATACCTTTCTGTGCATATATATAACGCCGAAAACGGAGTTGAAACGAAGAAGTTATGGTTGTTTGAAGTTGAGCTGGAAAATGAAGATTTTGCCCTATGAATGGCGTAATGTTGCTACGCATGGCGTAGCGGCTGATGAAGGAACGCGCCTTTAATGATCTATGCATGGCGTAAATCTGGCTACGCAGGGAGTAGTGTTGCTGACCAAAACCCTAATTTCGGGGTTTTGAGCCCTATTTAAGGATATTAACCCCCTTGAGGCCCTTTTTATCATCAGCCTCCACCCTCTTGAGCATCTAAATCGAAACCCTAATCCCTTAGAGCAAATCTTGAGCCTTT